TGACTGCCCTCAGCATTTGAGAGAAATCCACTACCACAGCTTTCATGCCACAGAATACCAAGTAGGGCTCAAGGAAGTTTGGGAGATAGTAGACTCAGTAGACAACTATGCTAATATAGCTGTAATGATACAATTTTTACAGCTTTCCTATAAGATTGAAATTATTAATTGGTTAAAAGTAGGTTAAAAGTATCTTGCATCACAAAGGGGCATATTGGGTAGTAGTAGAACTACTACACATTAGAAATACAGTACATTTTTCCCACCAGAAGGAATATATGCTGGTGGTAGGTCGTTATACAGAGACAATCATACAGTTGACATAGAAAAAAAATCTTAATTATATAATATTGAAATTAAATAAATAGAGGTGGAACAAGAATGTTATTGAAATAAAAATGATACTTTTTGCAGGGGGAGTGAAAAATGACAGATTTAGAAAATATACAACAGTAATAACAATATGTAATGAAACAGTATTTATATTAGTATTTTGGTATTGCAGGCGGAAAGTGTCAGAGGAAAACCCTCGTCTTGTTAATGAAGCTAGTTGCAGATAGGAAAAGCTGCTTTTTTGGCAAGAGGTTTTGGTCCTGATAGATTGTAGTGTCCTGCCAAAGTGAAGCAGTTTGTGTCCAATGTGGGAGGGGTCAGCTGCAACTTTTCTTGCTCATCTTCAAGTCCCAAAAGCATGGAGTTCCTGAAGAGAAGGAAGATGGCAGCCAATCAACCTCTCTGAACAATGATTTACATGCTGCCATCTGCACTTGTCCCTGATGATGGCAGGCGCATGTCAGACGGAGAAGAAGATGAGGATGGACTCAATGATGTGGAGTAGAGGTGAACCATCATTATCTTTGGCAGGCTGAACTGCTTCAGCTGCCACAAGAAGAACATTATCTGTTGTGCCATCTTGGTGAGGAAGGAGATAAAGCTTGAGGACTGGAAAGTTGCACAGGATGATGGGAGAGGGTGGGGCTGCACTCTTTCTAAAGTCCACCACAATCTTGAATGTTCTGGCAGCACCAGGTAAACAGCTGACCACTTTCCACCTGTAGGCAGATTCATTTTCCTCAGAGATAAGCCCAATTAGCACGGTTTCATCTGGAAATTCACGAGCGGACTGCTAACTCCAGATGTAGCTTTTGGTGTACAAGGAGAACGGTCATGGGGAAGAGAATTAAACCTTGAGGGGAACCAGTGCTAAACATCCTTAACCTTTGTGAACAGATAGTTCACAAAGGTTACAGATAATTTTTGGGAGGACTGACTGAAAGGACTCCAAGCATTCTGGAGCTAACAGGGGCAACAGTAGAATCAGATTACAGAGTTTGTCCTGCAAATGGAGGGTTGTCGGCTCAAGCCCCCGCTCTGGCTTTCAATGCCGTTGTGTCCTTAGGCAAGAAACTTTATCAGCATTGCCTACTGATGGTGGTTGGAGGGACTGGTGGCGCCAGTGTACGGCAGCCTCACTTCTGTCAGTGAGCTTCAGGGCAGCTGTGGTTTCCATGTAGTTTGCTACCATCAGTGTGTAAGTGAGCATTAATGGGTGAATGACTGAAAGTAGTGTAAAGCCCTTTGGTCAAGTCTTCTGATTTGAAAAAGCGCTGTTTAATTACAAGCCATTTACCATTTACCATTAATAATATCAGCTTTACATTTAAATTAGAAGCTCTGGTAAATAGCCTGAATTATGTTGATGGGTTGATGTTCTCTACTCTCTAATTTGTTTTGTTTTAGTGAGGATTTGTGCAGCATCATTCTGGATTGACTGCAGCTGTCTGGTTCTATTTTCAGGCAGACCATTGAAAACGCAGTTGTAGTAATCAGTTTGACTAAAGATTACGGGTGTAAATAATAATCGTCTTGTATCGATGCTTCGATCCAAAAGCCGACAATCCGATGCATCGACACATCCGAAAGAGTATCGATTTATGTTTTTTTTTTTTTCCTCTGGTCTATTTTTATCCATTTGCTTCTGGATGTGATTCTGACTCCGGTGTTGCGGTGACACTAAACCTATTTTGCCCTCCTACCTCGCTTCCGTTAGCCACTACCCTCTTTCCGCTTGCAGTATTTCTGATGCAAGGCCGTTCAGAATCTATAAACAGAGGCATTATTATTTTTCAGTGAATGAGGTTTTCATAGGCCTAGGTGGAGTACAACTTTGCTACTTCTTTTATTTACTGTTGTTTCTCAAATAAAATGCGTAACAGTATTACAGGTTTCATTAATTTATTTCAAATTCGAAACATTATCTAGCCTGTAAGGTAAAAGAAAAAAAAAGGTTAACCAATTAATCGAATCGTATTGTATTGCAGTGTATTCTTGAGTATTGAAAATAATCAAATCGTTGGGTCAGCAATTTGATACTGAACTGAATCACCATGATGGATGTGATTTACACCCCTACTAAAGATAATCACGTGGATTAGTTTTTTGAGATCTTTTTGCGACAGAAGTCCCTTAAAGGTAAAATTTGTAATTCTCTTCAATTTCGTTTTTATTCAGATGAAGAACAATTAGGCACAACTGTGTATTGACTTGAAAAGTTAAAGGAGCAGGAACATTTCTGAACAACATTTGAACAAAGTTTTTACACTGACATCTTCTACAGCAGACACTATATAAACAAGTACTATATGAACAAGTAGATCTCATTACAATATTTCAGTAAGTACATTTCCTTACTACCAACCCAATGATTTATCAGCCACCAACAGGTTGTGTATTTCTGTTCATAAATTTTAAATGTTTTTATGAACTCTCTTGCCCCTGCAGTGCATGCCAAATATCTCAAATATGATCCCATTACACGCTGCAATAACAGAAAATTGCTTCTTATTGATATAAGAGCAATGGACTAGCTCTTAAGGAGTATCAGGTTCACAACTATTCCATCAATTTTGTCAAGAACATGAAGGAAATTCAAATCATTACAAGCGGTGTAGTTGCTGGAGTGTAATGCCAAGGAACAAGGCACCTGTTCAGTAGTGTGCCTTAGGCTAGTATATTTTTTTTTTTTTTTTTTTCTCCCATTTCCCACCAGTATACAAGCGTCTGTTTAGAGTGCATATTAATGTGCAGAGTAATTGTCTTGCCTGAGGTTTCTTCTCATGCTTGCAAGAATAAATAGGCAGCTATCTGGTAATACTACAAACTAATATGATTTACAGGGAAAACATCATAACTACCTATGAATGTTTAGTTGTTTTAGGGATATTAGGCAAAATATGATATATATATATATATATATATATATATATATATATATATA